AAGTTTAAATACAACCGAACGAGCGTTAGCGAGTGAGGTATATGTCGCTAGTTAATATTAACACGTGCCACCGGGCATTTCAAATTTCAAAAAAAAAATTATCAAATTTTCTCATTTTTGTCTCTTGACTTCAACTTTTTCAAAAATCTAGAAAAATTCAGATAAAATTTTTCTAAAAACACAGAAATCTTCGTTAGAATTTTAAGCTTTAAAATAATCATTCAAAAATTAAAAAAGGTTAATCCGTCTTTGATATATCGACGGCTGCCGTTGAAATGACTTCTTAGCTACAATTTTGCCATGTATTATTTTGCTGTAACTTGATTCTGTTCCGAACTACGGCGATTTTACGAAAAAAAAATTTTTTAATGTCGAGAAAATCGAGGGGCGTGACTATTCTTGCAGCTATTAATGATATAATACTAAAAAAATATAAAAATTAGTTTATTAATTTGAGGATTTTTTATGGGTTTTCTATTCCAATTTCTTACCATTCTAACCTAGAAACAAGCACATAAAAAATACACTGTTTCGTAGTTTTTGGTGTCATCAGTGGAAGAATAGTTTCGCCCCATCCACCCATTTTTTGAAAAAACACTTGTAAAATTTTTGAACAATAGAATATCAAAAATCCATTATGATATTTGTGTTCAGCACTAAATTTGACTTTAGAAATAATTTTTCCGACCGTTTATCACTACTTATAATGGCAGACTAAATTAGTGAAAACAAGTAAGCGAGTATATCAAAATCACATTTGAATACCTAACTCCTATGATAGATAGCGCCAATAGCTCAAATGTGGCATACAATGTTTATTTTACATGACAAGTATAAAGTGTACAAAAAACTTTAATCGGATAAATAGTTCTTTCTTCAGGACTGTTAGAGTTTAATGAATTAATTTAGAAAAACTGAAAAATGAACGGACAAAATGAAAAAAAAAGTTAAACTAACGACACACCATGCTGGACAACCCAGAGGGTTGTCTGAGAGGGGGGACAGCCCCGTGTACAAAGAAGGAAACGCGAACTAAATATAAAAAATGTGAAGAAAAACCAAACGAGAACACTTTATAACGAGAAAAAAAAGAGTGATAGAAATTTTAAATAAGTTTTCACTAGATCTGCCCGAGCGTCCGTCTGAAGTGAGAAGACTAAGAGTAATGCCTCAGGCAGTTCACTGACTTCCGAATTTCAGAGAAGAACTCGAATAGAGGGGGAATCGCCTGGCCGGCCCCTTCCACAGTCGATAGACTTCAGGGCGCCAGCCCCCCGGGCGGCAGGACACCCGTGGTTCACTTCGAAACCCAAACATTCCCGCCCGCCTTGTCCGCAGGACAAATGACACTTTTTCCTGTTTAATGAGGTGGCGGTATTGGGCTAAGTCGCACGATAGGGCGACGATATGTTCCGTGAATTGTTTTCACTGTAGCCACTCGGACCATCCCGTCAGCCCCCGGATGAACCGCGATCACTCTTCCTAAAGGCCACTTCGCGGGGGGGTATCGATTGTCCTGGATGAGCACTAACTGATCGACACTGAAATTGTCCGAAGGTTGCTGCCATTTCCCTCTGACTTGCAGCGACTGTAGGTACTCCTGGGACCATCTTCTCCAAAAGTTGTTCCTTATTTTTTGAATAAGTTCGTAGCGCTTTAATAGGTTGTCAGGTACGTTCGGTGGTTCTTTGTCAGGAATCATTGCCAATGTGCTACCGATGAGAAAGTGTGCGGGGGTCAGAGTGTTAAGATCCTCCGGATCGGTTGACATGGCGCATAAAGGCCTTGAGTTCAAGCAGGCTTCTATTTCAGTAAGGAGGGTGCTAAACTCTTCGAAGGTAAATGTCCGCGAAATCATCAGTCGAGCCAGATGGTGCTTTGCCGATTTCACTCCGGCCTCCCAGAGTCCGCCGAAGTGAGGTGAGTTTGGGGGGATGAAGCTCCATGTCGCTCCGTCGTTTGCGAGAGCCGCTGTGGCTTCCATGTAGAATGTGGACCCCCTTTTAAACATGGATCTTAGTTCCCGATCGGCACCTTGGAATGTTGTTCCGTTGTCGCTGTACAATCGTCGACAAAGACCTCTTCGTCCTGTAAATCTGCGATAGGCTGCTAGAAAGGTTGAAGTCGTCATGTCGCTCACCGCTTCCAAATGAATCGCCTTCGTAGCGAAGCAAACGAAAACTACAATGTATCCTTTGTAGGATTTGATTCCACGGCCTTTAGTGGCCCGCAGTTGAAAAGGTCCAGCGTAGTCTAGTCCGCAATTCGTAAACGGACGAGCCGGTTCTATTCTTGCGGGTGGGAGATCACCCATGAGCTGCGTGGGAAAGCGAGGTTTAATTCGGTGACAGGGCACACACTTGCGGACCAGTTTTCTCACTAGTGAGGTTGCGCCGACAATCCACACTAAGTTTCGAAGGATGCTCAGGGTTAATTTTGGTCCTCCATGACCCGAGACCTTGTGCGCTAAGCTTACATACAAGGGTGTCAGTGGTGAATCTTTTGGTAGAATCGGTGGATGCTTCGAGGAGAAGGCTAGTGAGGAATGTTTCAAACGTCCACCTACTCGAAGGATTCCCGCCTTATCCAAAAAGGGGTTGAGATTGCGGAGTTTGCTATGTTTAGGAATGCTTTTCGCGTTTTTGAGTAAGTCTATCTCCTCAGAGAATGTTTTCCTCTGCGCTATCGCTAAGACCGTCGATTTGGCGGAGTCCAATTCGGTCGAGGAGAGGACTGTATCCTTGAAAGAGTTTTCAGATCCCTTTGCTTTATAGTTCTTGAACACTCTCAAGCAGAATGCTACAACTCTAATAAGCCGTTGCAAAGAGGAGAATCTTGAGAGGATCTCAATTTCGACTTCATTCTTGACTGTGAGGAACGCTTTTACTTCCGCATTTTCGGTATCGGGACGTTGAAGTTGAGAGGGCCAATTAGCCGGTGATAGGGACAGCCATTGTGGACCATTCCACCAAAGTCTATTTTCTCGTAGGGTCTCTGGTTGAAGACCTCGTGTCGCTAGGTCAGCCGGATTTTCTTGGCTAGGCACGTGTCTCCATTTCACCGAAGGCAGTTCAGTCTGAATGTAGGAGACACGGTTCGCAATGAAGGTTTTCCATTTAGATGGATGTTGGTTGATCCAGGCTAGGGTGACTTGACTGTCACACCAAGCCGTCACAGGCACAGCATTTAGAAAGGTCAGCCGTCTAACGTATTTTAAGAGCTTTACTAGGAGAGCAGCTCCACAGAGTTCTAGCTTTGGTATTGTTGCAGTCTTAATAGGAGCGACTTTGGACTTCGCTGCAAGAAGTGTAACTTGACCGTCCTCTTTGTATTTAAGGACTCGCACGTAGACTACTGCTGCGTAGGCTCGAGTGGATGCGTCTGAGAATCCATGGAGCTCGATCAGCGAGTTCGAAAAGCTTCCTAGCCAGCGTGGTATCTTGATACCTGATAATCCAACTAGGGATTGATAATATTGCGTCCAGCGCTCTTGTACTTCGGTAGGGAGTTCAGCATCCCAGTCAATTCTGAGTATCCAGAGGTCCTGGAGCATGATCTTGGCGACCACTGTGATAGGTGCGAGCCAGCCCAAAGGGTCGTATAGCTGGGCAATGCTAGAGGAAATCATTCTTTTTGTCGCATCCCCTGAGATGTGTGTTTTTTGAGGGTTGTTGAAAGCAAAGTAATCGACTCTTGAAGCCCACAGTATCCCCAGAGTCTTAAAGACTGTGTTTTTGTCGATGATCTCCGAGGATAGTGGTGCGCTAGATGAAGGATGTAGATCGGGGTGGTTTACTGCCCATTTATCTAACTTAAGGTTCGCCTTCGCACAGAGATCTATCACTTGATCTCGTTTCTTCTCGGCGTGAAGGACGTCATCATCGCCGTCGAAGATATCGTCGACATAGGTGTTATCTAACAAACAGTCCGCTCCAAGTGGAAATTGAGCTCCTTCATCGATCGAAAGTTGTTTCAAGGTGCGGATGGCGAGATATGGCGCGCACGCCGTGCCATATGTGACAGTGCAGAGCCGATATTCTTCGATGGGTTTCTCCGGAGTTGATCGCCATAGAATCCGTTGTAGGTCGCGATCTTCCGGATGGACGAGGATCTGGCGGAACATTTTTACTATGTCCGCGGTGAAAACGACTCTGTGTCTGCGCCAGTTTAATAGTATGAGGCCAATGTCGTTCTGTAGAGCAGGTCCGGCATGCAGGAAATCATTAAGGCATTTTTTCTGAGAGGTTAACCTTGATGCGTTAAACACCACTCTTAATTTCCAGCCCAAGTTGTTTAATTGTTGGATTATTGCGTGGTGTGGTATGTACCAAGCCTTTGGGTTGTTCAATTCCTCCTCTGGAACTCTCTCCATGTGGCCGTCTGATTCGTAATTATCCATGAACTCGCAGTAGGCTTCGGATAACTTGATATCTTGTTTAAATCATCGCTCTGTTCCAATTAGGCTGCTTGCAGCCATTTTTCTTGTTTCAGCCGCAGCCTCTGGAGGTTGACACTTAATGGGAAGACGGACCATGTACTGGCCTTCTGGGGTTCGTGTATGTGTATTGACGAAATGTTTTTCACAACGTTCGTCGTCTGGCTTGATAACTTTGTTATTTGGGATTGTTTCGAATTCCCAAAAGCGTTGTAGTTGATCTTGAATATTTTCTGACGGTAAGCAATGCATTGACGAAACTGTTATTGGTGAAGTTGGTTCCGCCCGCCGTTTAGACTCGGTTTGAACTGTTCCCGAAACAACCCAGCCCAGAGCTGTTTTTTGGGCTGTTGCTTTTGGGTTTTCAATCTGGTACAGCCCTGGTACTAATAACTGTCCATAGTAATCGGCACCGATTATAAGTTGGATTGTTCCAGGTTGGTAGTACAGAGGATCAGCCAACTTTTCTGCTCCGAGCCAATCTAGATCGATCTCCACTATTCTTCTTGTTGGAAGCCTTGATGTAAGTTTCGGGACCACATAAGCTTGGAATTCGAGATGGAAGTCGGGTTAGTGCACGGACCTTAGGGTCATCGTGGCAACTGTTTTTGCCTCCCCCACTTTGTGGTTTCCCAATCCCAGGATAGTGACATTTGCGGGGTAGCATGATAGTCCCAATTGCCTTACGACATCCTGTGAAATGAAGGATACCTCGGATCCTTGATCCAGCATGGCACGGGCCTTGATTTTGCCTTTTGGTCCCTCAAGAACAGCGCAGGCTGTTGCCAGAAGAATTGTCCGTTTGGATCTGCTGATGGACGTTGTATTCGTACGGACGGAGAATGCTGCACTAGTCGGTGGACTTTGTGTCTGGTGAGGGCCTTTTGCCTTCTTTTCGTGCTCGGATTTTTCGTCTCTAGATGGCCTGTGCAGAAGGCTGTGATGTTGCTTATGACATTCGAAGCAGCGTCCCTTGGAAGTGCAGTCCTTGATTTGGTGAAGGCCTAGACAATTAAAACAGAGTTTCATTCGTCGTGCTTCGTTAAGGCGCTCCAATGTGCTAAGTTGTTTAAAGGTCGGGCAGCGACCTATGTAGTGTTCTTCGGAACACTTTGGACATTTCCGGTTTGAAGGTCCGCTCTTTTCTGAGTTGTGAAAAGACCTCTTGATGTTTTTCTGTCCTTGTTTTTTTGAACTTGATGCGAGCGAGTTGGTGGTTGTCGTTGAGCGATGCGAGTCTGTCATGTTTAGGGTGATTATTCGATCGTCGATAAATTTTGCCAAAGCTTGGAATGTGGGATAATCATCGGGTTCCGTGTCGTTGCCTTCCGAATTGGGGGGTTTCGAACTCCGGGTGCTGAGGTAGTTTTCCCATTGAAGGCGCGACTCTGGATCCAGCCGTTCGCTCGTGTGGTAAACCAGCCAATCACCGATGATTTCTCTTCCGATGTTTTTCAGAGAGCGGACAGCTTGTCTAGTTTTGTCGATGAGTATTTTGAGGTCTGCTACCGATTCGCTTTGTAGTTTGGGTAGATTGTAAAGGGTGTTGAAGTGAGTATGTATGAGCAGGCGTACGTTGCAGTATCTGCCCCTTAATGCCTCCCATGTGGGCTTGTAATTTACTTCCTCTACTTTGATGTCCTTCACAAAGTCGGCAGCCTCATCGGTTAAACATTGCTTCAAGTATTGCAGTTTTACGACATTAGGCAGCGTTTTGTCCTCATCTATCATGGAGAGGAATAAATCTGAAAAGTTTCCCCAATCTTCGTACTTCCCAGAGAATTGCGGTAATGTAGACTTCGGCAGGCGCGACTTGCTTGAAATTGGTCCGCCTGTATGTAGATTGGAGGGGTCGTTATGTTGAGTGGATGTTGTTGAGTCGTGTAGTAGTGAAGCTAAATCATCGGTTTCGGCTTCATATTCGACCTCCATGTTTTCAAATTGTTGTTCAGTAACATAGGGCTCTTTTTCAGAGTCCGCAGTACTCACGATGTCTAGGTGAGCTTCTCGGGCCTCGTTCCAGTACATTTCTAACTGGTTCAACCTAGACTTAAGAAGAGGAATGGATAGGGTTCCTTCCTTCGATGCCTGTTTTCTACGTGTGATAGTTCTTTTTATTGTGTCGAGGCGAGTGGCCTGTTGCGACAATAGTTTTTTCAAGGTTGGAGCCATCTTGTTGCGAGACAACGGTGAGGATGTTTTCAGGAAAAGATAGGGTATCCTTTTTGCCTTTGCCCCTATCCCCCTCGTGTGTTCCTTCTCGTTCGGCGAAGGATAAGATACCCTTTTTTGCTTTTGCCCTTATCCTTCGACCTCACGATAGCAAATTAATAAGATACCCTTTTTTGCTTTTGCCCTTATTAATTTGCTCTCTAGTCCAAGACTAACGGGGGAATAGAGGCAAATTCCCGGCCGATGCACCAAAATTCTGTTAGAGTTTAATGAATTAATTTAGAAAAACTGAAAAATGAACGGACAAAATGAAAAAAAAAGTTAAACTAACGACACACCATGCTGGACAACCCAGAGGGTTGTCTGAGAGGGGGGACAGCCCCGTGTACAAAGAAGGAAACGCGAACTAAATATAAAAAATGTGAAGAAAAACCAAACGAGAACACTTTATAACGAGAAAAAAAAGAGTGATAGAAATTTTAAATAAGTTTTCACTAGATCTGCCCGAGCGTCCGTCTGAAGTGAGAAGACTAAGAGTAATGCCTCAGGCAGTTCACTGACTCCCGAATTTCAGAGAAGAACTCGAATAGAGGGGGAATCGCCTGGCCGGCCCCTTCCACAGTCGATAGACTTCAGGGCGCCAGGACACCCGTGGTTCACTTCGAAACCCAAACAAGGACTAAAGAATAGTTACGCCCCCTAAATAGTAATGCCCCACCCTACCCTACTATTTTAGGTTTTATTATTTATTTTAATTATTAATTAATTTATTTTTATCCCACATGCACAAAAATTGCGCTTTCTGATAGCAGACGACAGGGAGGAAAGTCATTCATTTCTTCGACCGTATAAAAATGGCGGCTGTGTTCTCCCAAGGGCAAGAAAATTAGCTGTTCACATGCATTTTTCTTGCCCATGGGAGAAAACAGCCGCCATTTTCATCCAAACGAACAAGTGAAAACACTTTTATCAGACGACAGCAGACGACAGGAACTTTTACTCCCTGTCGTCTGCTATCTGAAATCGCCACTTTTGTGCATTATGAATAAAAAATATCGTAAGTAATACGAGAATAAAGGCAGCCAATTTGTTTACGATGATTTTTGTGACACGAGTGGAGTTCTCGGGGCATTAAAAACTATTTTATTTAATTTTATATAACTTATTAATACAGAAATTATTTTTATAATTTTGTTACCTGAATTTTAATAAGTTTATCAAACTTATTAATTAATTCTTAAAATTTACTAAAGAATTAAAAACTTCATTTCAAAAACAGAAAATTTAAATAGCAATTATTATTTAAAAAAATAAATAAAAGTATTCCATGAGAAAAATTAAATAAAGTTTGAAATATTTAAATACGGATGAGAAAATTTAATAAAATTAAAAAAAAATTCATTAAATCAATAATTATAACCAAAATTTTTGAAAAATTTATATTTATCTTGGAGTTTACAATTGTTTCTCAAAGTGAATAAAAATAGAAGTGAAAAAATTTTTTGTTTAAACAAATTATTTAAACAATTGGCATTGAATTATAAAGTAATTCAGAATATTTTGAAGACTAAGTAAACACAAGATCCGACAAAAAAACGTTTAAAAATCGATATCATACCGCAAAAACACGTTAAATTATAAATATCTAAAAAGAGGGGTAATACGGTGGGTTTTAAACCATTTTAACCTAAAGGTGCTCCCACTGTAAATGTTTTTTCATATATTGAATCTGGAGACTTTTCTAAGTGTTTTGCAAAAAAACCAAAATCTTTCATCGAGCTGTTTTTGAGAAAATCGATTTTTTAGGTTAAAAAATTTAGTTTTAGTATTTTTATTTAAAGTATGTGCAGGATTATAATAAAATAAACGTTATTATGAAAACACATTATTTTTGTGATAAAATATATTTAAAATAACAATGTCAACGTAATAACAATGGTTTGTTTATAAACTATATTTAAAAAAACTAGGTAAATTAATAATTTCAATAAGGTAATATGAATAAGTTTAAGGAATGTGTACTAAAAATGTAAAACTTTCTTTAGACGTGAATACTGTTATATTCGCAAACTGCTTTTAAAATTTTTTTGAGTAATCAGGGTGATTATGAAATACTTTATGTTTTTCCCAAACATTCTTAAAGTCGTGGTGAACAGCCTCCATCGCTTGCTCACTGAAGCGTCCTAAGCCTACTTGCCTTTGTTCACAAAAATCTTTTACGTGAAAAAGTACAGCATGCACCTTCGGAGTAATGCTTATTCCCAAATCAGTATAGCTTAATTTAAATGTAGCTATGTAATTTTGAAAATAAGTATCCAAATGACTTCCAAAACACACATCAACAACGTTGTTAAAGTCTGCGAACACTTTGACATATTTTAGAATTTCCAGGTTTGCTGATCTTCGTAGAAGGTCTACTTTGTTTAACAGAATTTTGCAGGAATTTCCTTTAAAAGATGGTCCAGAATTTGTTATTTCACGTTGAACGTGACATTCCGTTGCCCAAGCTAGAGCTTCTTTTCCAATTGTTTTAAAAGACTTCCAAATACTACATTCACCACGCCTAATATCAAATGTAGTTCTGGTGGCGGAATGAGATCGAGAAATGTTTTGTCGCCATCAGTTAAAGTTGATTTTTTTTGCAAAGCACCACGTACATGAATAGTTACTACTATGTGACATTATGCCCACTAAAATATTTGCTAATTTTAAATCGGTCGCAATTGTAGCATCAAACGTGCAAATATTTAATTCCTTCCATAACTGTGAAACATTTTCGTAATTCTTGCGTTTTCGGAGCCACAGTCAGTAAGAAGAGTTTTTTTTACTCCAGAGTCTTTAAAACGTTTGGCTGCAATGCCATCCTCGTACGAAGAACGTCTAGTTATAGGTTACACAATATCTAGTGATTGGACCGACAAACATATTTTCAAAAATCCCCCTCCACCGTCAATACCGATTTTCAAATGCATTTCAGACATTTGTCGTTCTTCCTTCACATGCTCAATAAAAGCAGATAGATCTGTACAGTAAATTACAGTTTTTGCATCGTTGGAAACTTTATTCGCTGTAATATTTAAAAATTTAAATTCTTTGCAAACGAAATACTTGTCAACAGAATGAGTTTTGGTTTTGAGCTTGTCTTTCAATCCGTATTCAATAATTCTTCTATTCTTTGTAGCTACACGTATAGCTGAAGCAATTTCCTGTGTGGCGCGATTGGAAAGATTTAAATTCGATTTTATTTTAAATATATCGTCTACACTTATTGTTGATTGTTTTAATGTGCTTTCTTTTTTCCGTCAATAATAATTTTCAAAGGTTTTCCACCGAAACGATGACTAAATTGCAATGCTGAACTTTTTGTATTTGTATCCTCTTCAATCGTTTTTTTCTTAATGACAGATGCAATAACTTGATCTTGTACTTTTTGAGATGAACTGCTTAAACAAGCACTCAAATTCTCAACTAAAGAGGATGAAGAACACTTGTGAGAATTACATTTTGCAATTATCGAAAAGCAGCGACTGCAACGTTTTTCCAGATCTGGTATTTTTTCCTTCTCTGAAATAACAATTATTTATTTATTTTTACTTATTTATACATTCGTCTTTTGCGTTAATACTAGCGTTACAAGTGTCCCCGAGGAAATTTTTTTGCAAGCTACATCTTAATTTACTAAGTTTTGCGTCTACAGAACGTCTTGAAATTAGGAGTACTTGCATTCGCGAGTACGTCCTCCCGCTTGATAAAATTACGAAAGTAGTGAGAAAAACACCGAGCTATAGCGCGAGTCGAAGAGCGGTCACCTATCCAAGTACTAGCCGCACTAGACGTTGCTTAACCTCGATGATCGCAAGCCACGGAGTCTTACCACCGTAATTTACCATCGGTTAAATAACAATTACAAAGACTTTAAATAAAAATATTTAAAATGAAAATTTACCAGTGAGGTTACTTACGAGTTACAATATTTGAAATATTGGCCAGCGGTCCTCGATCTCTATTCTCTTGTGGAAAATATAATTTTTGACGTTCGAATACGAGTTCACAAAGGTGACATTTACATTTTGTCTGATCTTTTGATCGGGTTTTTGGAGAGTAAAACTTTGACAAATCGGGAAATATTAACTTCTTATTTTTTCCACTTTGCACTTCGTAAACATTTCTTTTGCATGTACTACATAAAGCGCTAGGTATTCTTTCATCGTCAACATAGTCAGAAAACAATTTTTCAATGTCGGATTTTAACATTTTCTTAATTTCAAACATTTTTTTCGTACTATGAAAACACAATAAACAGACTTTTAAACGATTTTCATCGTGTGTTCTCGCATGGTCCTTCGACATTTTTAAACGTCAAAACTTGTTAAATAAAGGCGAAATTTCATGGGGCGAAAAATTCGTAGCGACAAGCATAAATAGCGAATAAGCGACGGTCGCTATTGGTCGCTATGAAGCTGGTTTTATTGAGCTTCATAGCGACAACATTTTGCAAATGTTTTTCGCAGTTTTCCTGTAGTGGTTAAGTCACAGTTAAAATTTACATTTTTATTGTAAAAAAATTAATAAAATGGAAAGTAGCGAAGTAAGTATGAAATTAATTTAATTTAAATTTAATTTAATTAAATTATTAAAATTAAACAAATTTTATATTATTTTTATATTAATTCTTTATTATAGATTTTCAAAAAATTTATTAAATACTATGATTCTTGTTTTTAGTTAGTAAGATATTTATCGTAAATTGTATATTAATTTAAAAAAATCATTTTAGGAAAATCCGGAATATATCTGTGTCGTGTGTAAGGAGGGCGTCAAATTTTTAGATGTGTGTAATCATCCGTGCACTTTTCAATGCACAAATATTTATGTGGATAATGATAATTATTTTCATAATATAAGTCCTCGTAAGTATACATATATTTTTTATTAGAATTTATTAATTTAATTTCCACGGTTGATTTAAACAAAAGGTATGATTATACGATAAAAAAAATTTCAAAGTCTTATCACGGGCTCTAAAAAGCGCGCGAAATCATTAGAATTTTAAATATTTAAAACTTAGCGCTGGAAAGCATTTTTGTTTTAAATACATAAAAATAGAAAATCACAATAAATGTTTAGAAAAATCTAATTGTGTAATAATAAATTGTACTACAAGAATAACAGATTCATAAATATACAAAAAATTACTAAAATTAATTTTAAAAATATAATTGTAAATAAATAACATTATTATTAAAAAAAATGATGAATCTTATAAATGATTAATTAATGATTAAATGTTTAATTAATTACTTAATTGATTAAAATTGATAAAAAATAAATTTTATGTTAATAAATTGTTTTTGAGTATATTTTATATATTTTTTTAGCTGCAGACAATGCAAATGAAAATGGAAGTAATGTTGTCAGTGGTCTTCTTGATGATGGTTCTGGTGGTTTGCCTATCAACGGGGATGGGTCTGGCAATGGAGTTGTGTCTGCCGATGAAGATGTGTCTGCCGATGGTGATGTGTCTGCCGATGGAGATGTGTCTGTCGAAAGGAGTGTGGTTGCCGATGAGAGTGTACGCCGGAATATTCTGCGGAGTCCAGAAGAGATACTCATTGCGGAGGTTTATGCTCGTGAACCTTTATGGAATTGCACACTTCCAGTAACTCTTCGCAAAAA